CAGGGGAGTCAGGGTGGACCCTGGGGGGAACAGGGGACCCGGGATGGACTCTGGTGGGGACAGGGGAGTCAGGGTGAACCCTGGGGGGTACAGGGGAGTCAGGGTGGACGTTGGGTGGACTCTGGCGGAACAGGGGACCCAGAGTGAACATTGGGTGGACATTGGGGGGGACAGGGGACTCAGGGCAGACGTTGGGTGGACCCTGGGGTGGACAGCGGAGTCAGGGTGGACATTGGGGACCCAGAGTGGACGTTGGGTGGACCTTGGGGGGGACAGCAAAGTCAGGGTGGACATTGGGGACCCAGAGTGGACATTGGGTGGACCCTGGGGTGGACAGGGGAGTCAGGGTGGACATTGGGTGGACCCTGGGGGGGGACAGGGGACCCAGGGGGGACATTGGGGACCCAGAGTGGATGTTGGGTGGACTCTGGGAGTACAGGGGACCCCGAGTGGACGTCAGGTGGACCCTGGGGTGGACAGGGGAGTCAGGGTGGACATTGGGTGGGACAGGGGAGTCAGGGTGGACATTGGGTGGACGTTGGGGGGTCAGGGGATCCAGAGTGGACGTTGGGTGGACCCTGGGGGGACAAGGGACCCAGGGTGGACATTGGGGAACCAGAGTGGACTTTGGGTGGACCCTGGGGGGGGACAGGGGAGTCAGGGTGGACTTTGGGTGGACCCTGGGGGGGCCAGGGGACCCCGAGTGGACGTTGGGGGGCCCCCGGGGTGGCCGTCGGGGGGCTCAGCGGCCCTCGAGGGCCCGCTCGCGGGCCAGCACGGCCTGGTCGAACTTGATCATGAGCGTGGTGCCCTTGTGCCAGTGGGCGCTGACCCGGGCCGGGAAGCCGGCGCGGCCCAGCACGGCCTCCACCACGCCGGCGGCGAAGCTGGCCGGGTTGAGGCTGGCGTGGTCCCGGGGGGGGGACACGTAGGCGTTGAGCAGGGGCTCGCGCTCGATGAGGTAGTAGACCCGGGGGTCGTCGTTGGCCTGCTCCAGCCGCTCGGCCTCGCGCCCGAACAGCCCCCGCCACACGGGGCCCTTGACGAAGAGCAGGGCCCCCAGCAGCCGGGTCTCCCGCCGGCCCCCGCCCCCCCCGGACCCCCCCTTCTCCCGCCAGGCCAGCCCCTCCAGGGCCCGCCCCCCCACCGAGCGCCCCAGGGCCGCCAGCCCCCCCTGCAGCTCGCCCACCGACGCCGCCCGGCTCTGGCAGTGCTGGACCAGCTCCGAGAAGAGGAGGCCGAAGGCGCTGACGCTCACCTCCCCCCGGGGGCGCCCCAGGGACCGTTCCAGCAGCGCCGACTGGCCCCGGGTGAAGCGGGCCTCCGTCATGGCCTGGGGGGG